TAATCTCAGGGTATTGCTTACTGCCTAGCCTCAGTATCTGAGGTTACATTAGCACTACCTCTAGGTAACAACATACATGTGTAGAAGCCTTCAGCATCTTCCCCACTCCTAACCTAGCAGTACACAGGCAAGAGTGGAGAGGAAGAGAGGGAAAAGAAACGCTTTGTGGCAGGATGTATTTTGGAATACGGCTTAGTGGAGGTTTGGACAGAGAGAACTGTGTTAGAAAAATGGGTGGGTCAGAAGGAAAAAAATCATTTTATCATAAGGACATTTGCTCTAGATTGTTTATCACAGATTTACAATTGCCAAACTGTGGAAACAACCTAAATGCCCACGAACCCAGAACTGATGTGGTCTAACAAGCTGTGGTATATGTATACCATGGAATACTATTTAGCCAATAAAAAGGATGGAGGCTTTACAACTTTTGTATTGACCTGGATAGAGCTGGAACACATTCTTTTTAATAAAGTATCATAAGAATAGATCACAAGCAAAAATCTAATGTACTGGATACTAATACGAAGCCAGTAGACCATCTATTACATTTCCATGTAAGAGAAAAACTCAAATCAATTCAGGGTGGAGGGGGAGGGAATGGGGGAGCTGGGAGAAGGGAGGAGGGGATGGGTGTATTCCCACTCACTGAGTACAATGTTAGCCTGCATGGCCACCTCCTGGAGGCGGGACACAATTATAAGAGGGACTTTACCGAACAAATGCAAACCTGATTCTTTGTACCCTCAAATTAACCTGAAACAATAATAAAAAATAAAATAGAAGTAAAATGGTTAAAATGGAGAACCAAAAAGAAGGAAATAAAGAAAAAACTGGGTGGGAAAGGAATTTTAATAAGTACAATCCTGAATTATGCTTTCCGCCCACCCTGGGGTTTTCTTAAAATGCAAGCAAAGCTTTGAACTGTGTTGCGGTTGCTTTTTGTGTTTGGTGTGTATTTGTTTTACAGAAACATAACCTTGATATTGAAACAGTGTTGAATTCTGGCTCAATAAAGGTTCAAAAACATTGTTCCATTTTATCAAACCCAAAACATTGGTCCATCACCGCCTCCTTCCTCTGCCGCTCCCGGAGGCGCCTGTGTGCCCATTGGGTGCAGACCTGGTACCTCTTTTTTTTTTTTTTTGAGACAGAGCCTCAAGCTGTCCCCCTGGGTAGAGTGCTGTGGCATCACAGCTCACAGCAACCTCCAACTCCTGGGCTCAAAAGAGTCTCCTGCCTCAGCCTCCCGAGTAGCTGGGACCACAGGTGCCCGCCACAACACCCGGCTATTTTTTGGTTGCAGCCATCATTGTTGTTTGGCGGGCCCGGGCTGGATTCGAACCCGCCACCTTGGGTGTACTTAGCCACTTGAGCCACAGGCACCGAGCCCTGGTACCTCTTTTGTGAAGCAGCAGCCAGAGACTCCGGCCCTCTCGGTGGCAGATGAAAAGCCTAAGGAAGGAGTCAAGACGGAGAACAACGATCACACTGATTTGAAGGTGGCGGGACAGGACTGTTCTGTGGTGCAGTTTAAGATGAAGAGGAAACACCACTTAGTAAACTAACGGAAGCCTCCTGGGAACCACAGGGTCGTCAATGGCGCAGATCAGATTCCGCCAATTTGAATGACGGGCAGCCAGTCATCAAACAGACACGCCTTCCCCGTTGGAAATGGAGGGTGAAGATACAGTCCATGTGTCCCAACAGCAGACAGGAGGCGTGTGCTAAAGAGGGAGCCTGCTACTTTACTCTGGACTTCGGTTCCTACAGACCAGGATTACATTCTCAGAAAGCTGCAATTTGGGGGTGCCTGTGGCTCAAAGGAGTAGAGCGTTGACCCCATATACTGGAGGTGATGGGTTCAAACCCGGCCCCGGCCAAAAACTGCAAAAAAAAAAAGAAGAAAAGAAAACCACAGTTTGGTTCCACCCCTCCTGGCTACTACGGTACAGTTTTCTCTGTTCTTTCATTTCCCCTTCCCTATTCCTTTACTATACATTGTAACCGGTGTATGTGCACAAGCATATTGCATTTTTTAAAACTAAATGGCCAGTGATATGTTTTGATTGGCATTAGGTGGAGAGGAGTTGGGGAAAAATATAGGTTCTGTGAAAATACCCCCTTTCTCTATCCGTGGCTGCTCATCTGCTCTTATCTTTATATTGCAGTAAGTTATGTTGCTCTCACTGTTTTCACAAAACAATATGAAAAACCTCGCATACCTTGTTCTTGATGCCTCAAGCTATCCCCCTGGGTAGAGTGCCTTGTTCAGTTGGGGGATTTTAATGTTTTGTTGCAGTTTGGCCGGGGCCGGGTTTGAACCCGCCACCCTCAGTGTATGGGGCTGGTGCCCTACTCACTGAGCCACAGGTGCTGCCCCCTTAAGAGGATTTTAAGAAACAGTTAAACCAGTGTTTTACAGCAAAAGAAAATAAAAAAGAGGACTTCTCTAAATTCAAAACATTTGTGCTACACACAACATCATCAAGAAAGCCAGAAGATAATCCAAAGACTGGGAGAAAATATTTACAAATCATGTATCTGATAAGGCACTTGTTTCTAAGGCCAGGTGCGGTGGCTCATGTGTGTAATCCCAGCACCCTGGGAAGCCAAGGTGGGTGGATGGCCTAAGCTCACGAGTTTGAGACCAGCTTGAGCCAACAGCAAGACCCTGTCTCTAAACACAACTGGGCATTGTGGTAGGTGCCTATAGTCCCAGCTACTCGGGAGGCTGAGGCAAGAGAATTGCTTGAGCCCAAGGGTGTGAGGATGCTGTGAGCTATGATGCCAGAGCACTCTACCGGGGGTGACAAAGTGAGACTCTGTCTCAAAAAAAAAAAAAAAAAAAGATACTTACATCTAGAACATATTTTTTAAATCTTACAACTAATAAAAAGATAATCTAATGTTAAAATGGGCAAAGGAATTTAAGACGTTGCTTCAAAGAAGACATTCAAATGGTCAATAAGCACGTGAGAAACTCAAGATCATTCATTATTGCCTAGGGAAATGCCAGATGCAACCAGGAGATCCCACTCCACACCCACAGCTCAGCTGTAACAAAAGACACGCACAGTAACAAGAATGCTGACAAAGCTGGGGAGAAATCGGAGCCCTCCTGCACTGCTGGGAAGAATATAAAATTTGGAAACTCGTGTGGCAGTTGTTCAGAACATGAAACATAAGTTACCACGTGATCTAACACTTTCCCTCCTAGATATATGCCCCAGAGAACTGAAAACACACATACACACACACACACACACACACACACACCTGTACAGGAATGTTCCAAGCAGCATTATTATAGTCAAAAGGTGGAAACAACCCAAATGTCCACCAGCTGATGAATAAATAAATGAAATGTAGGATATCTATACAATGGAATATTATGTAGCCATAAAAGGGGATGAAAGTACTGACACAACTGATAAAACTTCAGAAGCAGCCAGTCACAAAGGACCACATTCTAGGATTCTCTGTATATATGATGCCCAGAACATTTAAATGCAGAGACAGAAGGACAATCAGCAGTTGCCAAGGGCTAAGGAGCGGGCAATGACCAATAACTACTAATGGGCAGTACAGGTTTCTTTTCTTTTTTTGAGACAGAGCCTCAAGCTGTCGCCCTGGGTAGAGTGCTGTGGCTCACAGCAACCTTCAACTCCTTGACTTAAGCCATTCTCTTGTCTCAGCCTCCCAAGTAGCTAGGACTACAGGCACCTGCCACAATGCCCCGCTATTTTTTGGTTGCAGCCGTCATTATTGTTTGGTGGGCCCAGGCTGGATTTGAACCTGACAGCTCAGGTGTATGTGGCTGGTGCCTTAGCCGCTTGAGCCACAGGCGCTGAGCCTGGTACAGGTTTCTTTTAGAGATGTCAAGAATGTTTATAGTTAGACTGTGATGATGCCTACACAACTCTGTGAAAATACTAAAATACCGTTCACATTAAATGGGTAAATTGCATGTGAATTATATCTCAATGAAGCTGTTAAAAAAACATCAACTGGTGGCTCAGTGCCTGTAGCTCAGCGGCTAGGGCACTGGCCACATATACCGGGGCTGGCAGGTTTGAACCTAGCCCAGGCCTGGCAAACAACTACCAAAAAAAAAAAAAAAAAAAACCAGCCAGGCTTGTGGTAGGTGCCTGTAGTCTCAGCTACTTGGGAGGCTAAGGCAAGAGAATTGTTTAAGCCCAAGAGTTTGGTTGCTCTGAGCTGTGATGCCACAGCAGGCAATTACCAAGGACGACTCTGCTTCGAAAAACAAAAAAGATCAACTGGTGAAAACACAGGAAGGCCCTTCCCCTTGCTAAGCATTTTTTAAAATGAGTTCTGCCTTGAGCTGCCCTCTTCCCCAGGGCCACCTTTCTTTCTTGCCAGGGTGGGAGAAGACATGAAACTACTTCTGATACATCATAATGTCATAGCAATGAAAGCAAATCCCACGGGGGAAGTAGGAAAAAACCTCAGTGCTCTGGAGAATGCAATCCCCACACAGGCGTTCACACTGTGGCCATGAAGACAAGCCGGACATAACAACTGTGTCTGAATTATGTAAAATGCCTACAAACAATTCTAAAATGGAAGCATTTTAGCAACTTAATGTTTAAACAGAAACTCATATACAGAAAGTAAATTCAAAATGTGCAGCTTTATGTAAACATTTTACAGAAAAATTCTTAAGCATTTAGCAAGAACATGGACTACAGCCTCACTTCTAAGTGACATTATTTAACAGCTGCTTTTGGCAATGTGTTTAACTTTTCTCCCTTAGAAAATAAAAGCAAAGAGATTTTCAGTAATGCATTTTATTGCTCCAGTGCAAGAAAACATTTCCAGGTTTATTTCTAAGTTCAGTTTCAAAACAAACCGACCTGAAATTTTTAACCATTAATATTCATAGTAATGACCAATAAAATGTATTAAGAATAAAAAAATAAAGTCATTCATTATGGATAGTAATGAACCCAAGTTCAATGTGTAAGAACTTTTTTACCTAAAACATTTTTCTAAATGCACACTAAAAATCTGTTCATTTAAAACACTTCGGTGATAAAATAATTTCAGTTTATTAAAGACAGCACAAATCGACTGTAAAAGGTATTACATTTCTTCAAATACTATTTGTTTCACTCTCTTCAATTTCATGTTTCCTAACATCCATGCCACAGGTCAATCAAAATACAATTGCATACAAATAAAACAAGTTATTGAAATGAAATAAAATTCAAGAACAAAAGTTAGAATTAACTTGGGAGGTAAGTTTTACTTTCACGTGTTCAAACATCACAGTTGTAAGAAATGCCTGTCTTTACAAAGCATCATTAAAATGTGCAATTTTACAGAGCCATTGTTCCAAGAGTTCAAAATCAAGTTACATAAAAGCCCATGCTTCCTAGAATATTAAATATCATGCATTATATACTATTTAAGAAAAAGATAGGGTTAAAGAAACTTTAAAAGAACTCATATTTTGCTTTCTATCATTAAAGCCATCTGAAAATATGCATTTAATTTGAAACAAGTTACTAATATTCCAACATAAACATAAATATCTGTAACTAGCTTAGAATCATCCATCCCCAAATCAAAATAGTGGAGCAAACTGAGTGCTTGTAAATGAGCAGTGAGAAGCAAGGCCTCCCGGAGCAGGCAAGTGACTGAACTTGCACGCTGCTTTTCTGGGGATGAAAACACGCTCAGCAGACCTTTCTACACAGCTGAGAACTCCTGAACGCAGTTAAAGTGGGCCATCATACTGAAATATTCCGTATTTCCCAGTGGTCAGCCAGGTGGGGTCAGAGGCCATGAGCTGTTCTGCTTGCCCAGGCTGGAGACCAACCTGAAGCTCAGCTTTTAATGTCCGTATGCTACAGAGGGGTGCAGGATGGAAGCCGTTCAGAGCTTCATGAAATGGAATAGAAAATCCCCATTTTCTGTCACCTGTCAACTTTCTATAATTCAGATCGCCTTTGAATAAAATTAAATGTGCCTTCTGCAGTTCAGCATATAAGTCAGGAGCAACCTGAGACATGACACAGTATTCATGAGGCAGAGTCCAAAATATATGATCATGGTAAACCCATCTACCCATTTTAACATCGTTCTCCCAGTCAACCCCACACTTGGACATCCACTTATGATTGCTACATTTTACTTGGTCTATTAACCAATTAAAATCACGTACAGTAGTATCAGAAACAAACCATGGAATGCTTTTTCCATAAAAATGGATCTCATTAGCCAGTTTAGAGGACAACAAGAAGTCGGCTAGTATAAAATCTGTGACAAGTTCAAACCCCGAGTTATCTAGAACAATAGCTACTCTAATAGATGTTTTTTCACTTTTCTTGCAATTGCTAAGCAAGGACCAAAGATGTTCCATGTCATTCACTAAAATGAAAGGTTTTAGGTCTTGCAAAGAATTTAGCACATTAGTCTTCTGAGAACTAGCTTCCCCTGCTGACAGAGACAGATCACACTTATTTCCCCACAGCGAAATCTGAAAAAGAAAAAATAAAAAACATTCACCCTTCTTCTGAATAACCAACAAAAACTCCACTATATGTATGTATGGAAGAGGGTGGTGCTCAAAATAGTCATAAATCTCTATAACACCTTCTCTAATAACGCATCTGTTTACATGATGCTGTATTAATAAGGTTCAACGGTGAAATTTTTAACATCAGTACATAACGGACATAGACAAACTGGTTTCAGTGATTTTAGCACCCTCGTTGTCTACTCAGAGTAAACGTTTCTGCATCCTGCAGACATTAGATCTGCACCAGATGTTGTGAAGAGAAGCTCAGAGTTTACTTTATAATCCAGAGTCAAGAGAAAAGTGAAATCATTCTTTTTTTCCTCCCAGGCCACCCAAACTGCCTACTTTCTTTTACTAATTGTACAACCTTATGACATAGCAACCTCTTTGGGATTAGTTTTCCCCTTTGTAAATTTTAAAAATTGGACAAGGAAGTCTAAAGACCCAACTCTGGGCCTAGACATAGTAGCTTATGTCTGTAATCTCAGCGCTTCTCTTACAATGTTATTCTGTTGCTCACTGTGGCTCCCTTACTGGGGAGCAGAGTGGCAGCAGCAAGTCGTTGGCCAAATTAGATGGCAGAAAGTAGATGGAAGGGCCTTCTTCTTCGTAACTGATGATACTAATGGGGCAAAGAGCACATTCAAAGATTTTTCCCTGAAAGAATGGGCTAGCTAGAAGCAAAAGCTGGCATTAAATTCCAAGCTAAGCATAAAGGATAGTTGAGAGGAAAAAAACAAAAACAAAAAAGCCACGTATATTAGTCATGACAATTTTTCTTCAAAACTCATAACATGCCTCACTCGTGATCACTCAGCTAACTCTACATGCCCTCAAAGTCTCATCAGGGCTTTGTCAACCCTGCAAACCTGTGAGCAAATCCCTGGGAAATGCTGCAGGGTGAAACTGACCACCCAAGGGTCATCACCAACTGCTGCTAACAGCAGGCTCTGTGTTCCAGGCTCTGAGTTCAGCACTTCACAAGCATAAATCCAGTTTAATTCTTATATCAAATTATGAGGTGTATACCCATCCTCATTTAATAGATGAAGAAATGAAGCCCAGAGAAATCAAGTACCATGTCTCAGGTCCAAGCACAAGTTAGTGAGGGCCAGCGAGGAAACTGAATGAGCTGGGCTGACCAAACCACCAGGAAGCACTGCCCACATACAGCACAGTCTATGAGGGCACAGAACTTCTTTTTTTTTTTTTTTTTTTGAGAGACAGAGCCTCAAGCTGTCCCCCTGGGCAGAGTGCCGTGGCATTACAGCTCACAGCAACCTCCAACTCCTGGGCTCAAGCGAGTCTCATGCCTCCGCCTCCCACATAGCTGGGACCACAGGTGCCCGCCACAACACCCGGCTAGTTTTTTGGTTGCAGCCGTCGTTGTTTGGCGGGTCCAGGCTGGGGATTCGAACCCGCCACCTTAGGTGTACGTGGCTGGCGCCCTAGCCGGTTGAGCTATAGGCGCTGAGCCGAGGGCACAGAACTTCTGTGCCACTAAGATCATTTCCAGTTGTCATAGAAGAGACTGCAAAATCCACCTTTGGAAACTAAATGGATTTTCATCTCTTAACTCTATTTAGATAAAAAATTATCAATTTAATTTAAATAACAATATATACATGCTTTTTGTTACAGGTATGCCAGTTTATTTTGTTTAAATAAACAAGTATACCTGGGAAATAAATTACTACATTTACCTGCAGAAGTTTAAAAAATTCATTTTTCAGCTGGTTTTCATCTAGATCTTCAATAGTTCTCACCAGCTCTTGCAGGTAAGTACATAAAGCAATGACAGATTCCTGTGACTCGAAGAAACTTTGGGTTTTTGATTCTTTAAATACATCAAAGTCATCAATTGGTGGACTAAAGTAGGAGAAACACATGAGTCAAATATTTGTATGCTTGTATTTTTTTTTTTTACTTTAAATAATTGCAGTTCTTTAAAGAAAAGAGGTAGTAAGTACCATATGGTCTAAAGAATTCATGGTGAAAGACACAAAATATAACATAATAATAAAGTTATCCAAAAATAAATCCCCCTAACTCATATTGTAATTGTCAAAAGTTCCTAAATGAACTATTTTTTCTGGAAGTATTAAATTATTATAGGAACTATGTCCATAATTATCTACCCAGCAAGGAGTCAAGGGCAAAAGAAGAAAAAGAGACAAAATTTCAAGATAATTGCTTTAGTTCAACATCATTTTTTAAGCATTTTGTGGTAAGCTTCCAAAACCAAATCCAGAACATAGGAATACAATGAAGTAATCACTAATGGACTCAAACAAGTGTTCTGGAAACATAATGAGTACTAGGGATAAATCAGACTTAACACTATTACTAAAATAACAAATTTTGATTATTTATATATAGGTATTTGGGGAGCAACTTTCACTCCCAGGCTGACTTTTACCAAAGGTAAAATGTGCCATGACTACATCTTTAAGCTGTCCACTGACAGATTCAGTAATGTTAATACTGGCATAAGAAAATCATAATTAATACCAATATAGGCTCGGTGCCTGTGGCTCAAGTGGCTAAGGTGCCAGCCACATACACCTAAGGTGGCGGGTTCGAATCCAGCCCGGGCCCCCGCCAAACAAGGATGGCTGCAACCAAAAAATAGCCAGGTGTTGTGGCAGGTGCCTGTGGTCCCACCTACTTGGGAGGCTGAGGCAAGAGACTCACTTGAGCCCAGGAGTTGGAGGTTGCTGTGAGCTGTGATGCCACAGCACTCTACCCAGGGGGACAGCTTGAGGCTCTGTCTCAAAAAAAAAAAAAATACTAATATAATATCCTTCACAAAACTGAATATTAAAAAGGCATTCAGATTACTGGATCTTCTCAATTAGCTACTTTTTCCAGGGGACTTCCAAGTTAGGATAAAAACAGTAAGAATGATGTAATACAATTTAAAAAAACCTACCTGTATTTATGCATCCAAATGACGGCTGCCCCTTTCCCGTCAGCCAGTCACCTTAGGACACTGCACCCTTATTCCAAGGATGCTGCCACTGCTCAAAGCACTTTTGGAATTCCTCTTTCGGAACTGTCTTCAGAGCCTGTGGCACATGATTACACAGCCTGTCAATGAGCGCGTATCTTCATCCTTTGAAGTCAATTTACTTTTGGAAATAGCCAAAAGTTACTCGGAGTGATTTCAGTAGAATGAGGTGGGTCTCAAACTGAATAAAAACAATGTGCCAAAAATGAGGAATAACTAAAAACCAGTAAGATTAATTTTCTTTTTGGAGGCATGTACACTGGCTCTGAAAGAAGTTCCAAGGAATTCAAAGACGTTTTTAACAATGGCAGCATTGCTGAAATCAGTCTCTCAAGGTGACTTAAAAGAATAAAAATCATTTGGATGCGTAGGGTCAGCAAACAGTGGCTCAGAGATCCAACCCAGCCCACCACCTGGACTGTACTACCCTCATGCTAACAGTGGTTTTTACATTTCTGAATGGCTGAAAACAAAGCAAAAGAAAAGCAGTATTTTGTGACACGTGAAATTCAAATTCAGTGTCCCAGGGGAAGCCTTATTAGAAGGCAGCCACGCTTGTTCACACATCTGTCTCTGGCTGCTTTCTCACTACCAGGACAGAGGGGAGCAGCTGCAACAGACACTCCAGGACCCCCAAAGTCTATGATATTTACCACTTAGCCCTTTACAAAAAAGGTTTGCCAACCCATACCCAGTGTTTTACTAACAAAGCATTCATGAGTTTAAAGTCACACCTCACCTTAAAAATTAGCCTTATTTCTTACGTTTAAGAGTAAACTTATATAACTACAGATAATTACTCAATTTAAAATGTTTGCTATTTTAGGATCTACTAAAGCTGTATATGTACATGCACTCTGACCCAGTGATTCCCTCATAGGATACACTCAACAGAAATACACACATATGTTCAGCAAAATGTTTAGAACAGCATCCTTCATAATAACCCCAAACAGGAAACTACTAAAACACCCGTCACGACAGAATAAGTAAATAGACTGCAGTATGTTCACATAATGCAGTACTCTGCGGCAACAAGGACGAGTCATCTAGAACGGTGGGATGCAACAAGGATGAACTGCATCACTGGAAGGCTGAGTGCGAGAAGCTGGACACACCGGATCATTTCATTTCAATAAAGTTTAAACGCTAAACACGTCAGGGGCCGTCCTCAACGGCAGTGACTGGAAGGGGACTCATGGGGGACTGCTGGGGTACTAGGAAGCGTCTGCCTCTTGATCTGAGCACTGGGTGCATAAGTATTCCTTTGATCATCTAAGGCAGCGGTTCTCAACCTGTGGGTCGTGACCCCCTTGTAACAATGAAAATACATCATGGCATCAGGAAGGTTGAGAACCACTGAAAGCCACGTTTGTTTTTCTCTCTATATACTGTACTTTAATACAAAGTCTTAAAATGTCTGTGTTCTCTGAACTTTCATCTTTCAATATCTGAAGTAGATTTACTTAATATGTTTAAATCTCCCATAAGGATACAACTTGGAATGCCGATTTAGCCTGGCAGACTACAGCCAAGTCAGCATGAACGACACTAAAGCTAATGTGTGCCTTATGATCCTACCAAAGAGGACCCTTATTTGGTCCCTCTGGAGGTGCCACTGACGCAGGGCAGGAATCCTCCCTCAAAGAACCAGACAAAGTAGACATTTAAAACTACTTTTGTGCTAGTTCTGATGGGAGACAGTGCTTTATCACACCAATCTAAAAGCTGAGTCTAGGCCGGGCACAGTTGCTCATGCCTATCTTAGCACTCTGGGAGGCCGAGGAGAGTAGGTTGCTTGAGCTCACGACTTCGAGACCCCGTCTCTACTAAAAATAGAAAAAAACGGCTCAGCGCCTATAGCTCAACCGGCTAAGGCGCCAGCCACATACACCTAAGGTGGCGGGTTCAAATCCCCAGCCCGG